ATTTTCTTTAGTCCGAATACAAAACGGTCCAATGGAATTTTCTCTCACACCTCGCTCAGGAGTGTATAACATATCGTGCATGTTGTGCATTTTAAAGACGATTGTTTTTTGGCGGCTGAGCTGTCTCCAGCAGCTTATTATCCATGCAGTACTACCCAGCAATGAGAGACAGCAGTGTCCGAGCCTTTCCACAGACTCGGGGCAAGCTCCCTTCTCAGTCAGCAACGGACATAAAACATTAAACCAGACATGATGGCCTTGGTGCTCAGCCCTCACACACGGTCCACGGTCCACGGTCCACACAGTCGGTAAAAGACACGTCTGCCCCCCGGAATAAACAATTGGTTAGCAAAGGAAAGAGCCCCCGGGGCCGTGCCAGGCCTCCTACCTCTTGGCGACGGCTATGCTGATCCTAATAGGCTTCCCGCCAAGGCCAGTAGCATTCTGACACTCTTCCATAGCTTTCCTCTGCTCCTTCTCGTCGCTGAACTTAACAAATCCATAGCCCCTGCGTGGACACAGCACTCGCACGCGTTAGCAGCCCTCCTAACACAGCCCTCAAGCTGGCATGCAAGCTAGATATAATAGGCAAATAATATATATATATTAATGGAAAAAAACGGAAAATGTTTTATTACTTTTAACATGAAGTAGCATCACTTCAACTGTTTGTAGCTCTTGCTTATCCTATATGGGGAAAACAATAGTTAAATAATAACATTTATGCTTCACAACAGCAGATTTACCTTAACTGGCAAAGAAGCAACTGACATCACCATTAATCACAAAACTATTTCATTACAAAAGGTAAATGCTTATCAACTGCAGAGTTAAGGTAGTAATGAGACTGTGGGGGATACAGATGTTACCTAAGTGACTCCATGCAATTTGGTGCGTTTTGTCTACTCACAATAGGTACCTGATAGAAAGGAATGGGATACTTTGAGAATTCAAAAAGAAATTGCAGCCTTCCATCTAAAATGACTTTCTACAGTATTTCTACAACATTTATTTAGGTCCTCAAAGAAAACACTGACAAGTGGCTTGAAATGCTAGTTAATGCACACCAACATGAAACCAGAGTTATCGCTGAAAACCTCTCCTCTCCAAAAATGGTATAACAGTCTGAGAGCATTTTCTACATACTGTTAATTCAATCCTGGATCTGCAGGCAAATACAATGGCTACACTGACTCATATATTACTCAGATGAATGACACACTTTGTCAAAGGCCTAGGTCCTGCGAGTATATAATGAGATCTTGCCACACTGCTTCTGTACCTTGAGTTCCCAAACTGATCCGTTACCACTTTTCCCCCCTTGCAGGAGGGATATTTCTTCACAAAGAACTCGTAGAGCTGAAAGTCATCAATTTCCGGAGTGAGATCTCCAACAAAAACAGAATATTCAGGGCTGGAGAAGAAAAAAAAAAAGACAGCAAAAATAAAATATTTTTAGTAGATATTAAATAACGGCTTGAGACAATGTGCCATAAAATGTGCAACATAAAACAAACGTTATTATGTGTAATGGACAAATACTTGGGTGGTATAATAATGCATCGGTTGAAAGTTTATATTCAATTCAAATATATTCAACTCAATATTACAGTTTGATGGTCATAATTTGTATGGAAACACTACATTTTAT